TATTCATTAAATGGAGGCACACTAATTGCGATTCACTGTGTAATATAAATTTAAATTATCAAATTAAAAATATAAATATGACGTTAAAAATTTTTTAGGAATCTGGTTTGATTCGAATCAATTTGAATCCTGTTTTTTTGAATTTGAATTGAATCGAATTGACTACAGAACGAATCGAATCAAATCGAATCACTCTCAAATTCGATTCGATTCGATTCGTTCGGAGCCTTAATGATGACAGTGATTTCATTGGTTGCACATTCATTTTATTTTTATATATTTCTGCAAGTTCTTTGATAATTTTATCCTGAACATCACAGACAATATTTTCTTTGTGGTGCATTATCTTCTTGAAAGATAAATACACCATCACCATGATTACACTGATCTTCTGCACTTAATTTCAATAAAAGGTAGTAAATTTGCTGCAAGAAGGTTATTATAATTACTTGCATTTAATTTACCTTCAACTAATACTAACAGACCCATTTTTCTTCTTGTAAAACAACCCAAACCATGATTCCATCAGATTGTTTTACTGTTGGACTTAAATGTTCTTTTTTATATCTTTCTCCTGGCATTCTCCAAACCCAATCATTTGAATCATTTTGAAATAGTAAGAACCTACTCTCATCACTGAATATAATTTTATTCCATTCATTTCCCCAATTTTTTCTTGCATGACACCAAAATAATCTTTTTTTTCCTATTTTTTGCAGAAATTAATGGCTTCTCTACAGCCTTCTTACCATAAATATTTTTAGTGTGTAAAGTTCGCCTGACAGTCTTTTCACTTATTATTACTTTAAAAAAAAATATTGTTTTTAATTAATCTCTATTTCATTAGAATCAGGATTTGAAAAATGAACATCCTTATGAGGTTCCTCTACAAAATTCATGATTTTTTTGTATAAATATAATTTTTTTTCCAAATCTATATTAATTGGAATAATATTAATGGGTCCATTATGACTAAAGTTATTATCTTTTAAAAGATTTAAACCATTTTTCCTCACCACCAGGTTTTGTTGAAACAAACACTTTTCCTTTGTTTTCAGGCAGATTATTAAATCTAAAATGATGATATTGCTTTATATTAGGTAAAGTTTTAAATTT